CCTCAATTCTCTAATTTTGGTGAATATTTTTGTAATTTTTGGTAAAAAGTGATATTTTCGACTTCTTGTTAAAAACCACAAGTCTGATTGCTTTGATATTACATATATAGGTACTACATGTGGACCTCTCTCAGATTTGTTCATTTTGTGATGTCTTCAATTCTCTAATTTTCGTGAATATTTTTGTCATATTTGGTAAAAAGTGATATTTTCGACTTCTTGTTAAAAACCAAAAGTTCAATTGCTTTGATACTATACATATTGTTCATTTTCTGATATCTTCAGTTCTTTAATTGAAATGTGCATTTCTAACAGCGGAGCTATCTCAGCCGATAGGCTGCTTGTTTAAATGTATTTTACCCTCAAAAAATTATTTTTGTTCATTTACATTATTTGTTGCAGTGAATGACAGAAACACTACTAAAGAAAATGACTAGTGATCAGCTTGCAATTGATCGTCATTCTTTTTTAATACCAAGTCATTTAAACACATGTTTTTTTTTTTGAAAAGCAGGGATGGGGATTTTAAAATAAAAGCCCAACCTGTCCACCTCGTAATAGTTGTTAATCAGTAAATAGAAACACAGAAGTTTTTACTGTGGCCTATTTGAAAATAGGTCAGTGCACTCTTATGGGACAGTTCACATAATGTAAAATCTTTCTGAATTCATGTTTGAAATTTTTTAAGATCAGTTTCAGCCTGGGATATTTTTGTCCTTGACTACATTGACCTCCTCTATCAAAGGTCGCCAACTGGACACTTGTTTGTTATTTTGAAAGATGTTGTCTGCTTAAGTTGTCATATAATGTAAATTACTTGATTTTCGTGAAAGATAAAAATCAGTGGAAATAAAATCAAGTGTAAATACCCTTTTTCTTGTGTTTTACATTCAACTCTTCACGAATCAATAAGAAAATAAACTTAGACAAGTTTTTTTGCAATGAAAATTTAGTCCAGCTAAAATAAAGTATTTTACAGTATCAGATTGAGAAATAAGAAGCCTTAAAAATGTTTTTTTTTTAATGCTGGTTCAGAAAGAAGTAGTGAAAACAGTTTTCCAAGGTTACCATGGCCACTCATGTTTCAGGAAACTCTACTCTTTATGTAATGGAATGAGTTTAATTTTTACAATTTTTTTTTTTTTTTTTTTGCACATCACAAAATAATGATCCAGAAATTTTTTTGTTGCTAATACAATATAATTTCTTTTTTTCAGGTTTTTGTTTACCTGAAAAACTTATTTTTAATATCATTAGGTCTGCATGTCTAGTGAAATCTTTATAGTATGACTGAACATAAGATTAACCATCATTGGTAGATTTTATTTTTGTGCTAAACTCATCATGCGTAAACTGCAAAATTGCAACAGCCGTCTGGCGATTTTGTGGTTTAATGATTTTTGTATTTCATACTTAGCCTTTTCACCACCAGACTTTCTCGCTCAAATTTTTCTGCCCTTTTTTCCCTCATGTTGCTCAATATTTCTGGAAATGAACCCTAATTTTGGAGCCAACAGACAAAGTTTGAGTCAATTTTCAATTTTTACTCAAAAAATTTAGCTATTTTTGTCCCAATCTTCTGAAGGTAAGTGCAGACTATAAACTGGACTACTTTGTGATGAAAAGAGGGAACTGGTGGTGGAAAAGATTCATCCTTGAATGCTCAAGTCAACTTTATCAATTACATTACTTTTTTCCATATTTTTCTAATTTTATTTTATCACAACCTTGTAGGCAATTGAAAATTTTAATTTGGTTCAAAATTAATAAAGAAATTATAGAAAAAAAAATAAGTGGGAATGTCAAATTAAAATTTGGGAGGGAGAAAATTTTAGGTTCAATGGTTTTATGATAAAATACAACTGGAATTGTTTGTCTCTTCATATTTGTGATTTGTGTTGTAATCTGAAATTGTTGCCAGAGGTCAGGGGTCATGACCTTGCATCTGTATAAAGTAATTTGTATACTGTATATATAACTTTGTATTTGTTGCCATCTTTGTCTTTCTATGACTTGTGAAATTCCATGCATTGTTTGGTTATTTTTGTTCTGAATATACTTTTAAATGCCCATTTTGTTTTGACATAATTTTGTTCCTTGACAGTTTTTCTCTTCCACTTCTGCAGATTGTTCCAACAACGAAAAAGTTTTGGGAGATGGGAGAGGGTGACGAACGGAAGGGCGATGAACCAAAAGGCATTTTCCTTGGGGACCAGTGGCAGGGGACAGCATGGGGAGCAGTTCCTCTGACCAATGCAGGTTAGTGTCTCATAGTTGACAGACTGTGCTCTCTAACAGTAATTTGTAATTTTTACACTTACTAAATGTTCATGAAATGTAAATATAGTTTTATTACCAAATTACAAACTCCACTGATTAATTTGTTCTCAAGATTATTATATCACTGTACAATTTTATGTTGTGTCATTGACGTCTCAGGAAATAAACATAACTTTTTGCGTTACAAAATATATGCATCAATGACATGTCATAATAGCTTACAGGGCACACGGGTAATGGATTTCCCGCTGACAAATCTTGGAATCAGGGGCAACATTTACCAAATTTATTGCCCTTAAGAATTTTTTTTACTTTGCTGAATTTCACCCATAATGCACTGCAACTAAATCCATGCAACACAGACCTGAAATTTCATCGCCATGGGTTACCACTCTACTTCTTGAGAAAGTTGTGTATCCTTTCCCGAGTTACTCAAGTCAACTGAAATGCAGGGTTACATTCAAAAATGTCTTTTATATCTCACAGACCATTCAGTATCGCAGCCAATCATCATGCAGCGTCGGGGTTACCATGGTGATGCTAATGCGGTCTTGTCGCCCAGGTCCGAAAGTGGTGGCTTGGGTGTGAGTATGGTTGAGTACGTGTTGGGGTCATCGCCTCAAGGGAAAGCCGAACTGGAATCAAGGATGGGAAGAATGAAACAAAGATATGTAAGTAGTATTTTCAGCAGTAAAGGAAATTATTTTTTACTTTTTAATTTTTTTTCCTATAATTTAAATTCAACTCACCAAAAATCAGTATAAATATACTTTACAGGGTCCATCCTTTGAAAGCCTTAGGATTTTTTGAGGTCTGGAAAGTCTTTGAGTTGTCTCTAAATTACAGGAAAAATTTCTTCATAGTTATTAATACATTTTAGAAAGGCCCGTTTTCTCGAGGGAACTGCCATATCCTCAGAGCTTGGATGAGCTTTGATGATGATGTTGGCCTGAATCAAGGGTCAAAATGTCTTGAGGGGGGGATGCAAGAAAGTTTGGGAAAAGGTCTAGAATAGTCTTAAAAATCATTTGGCTCTTGGTGCTATGGACCCTGCTTTATACAAGTGTTGGATTTAGTCATTAATAGGAAATTTCAATCGGTGAGATTGATTTGATTCTATCAAAAAGTATTTTCATTTCTCAGGGACCACCGCCAAACGAAAATGCTATGTCAGAAAATGAACAACAAAACAGTGCTAACGGAAAGAAAAGTAAAACCCCCTCCCCTTTTGAGGAAGAGACAAAGAAACAGGAACAAGAGTCGATAAAAGAAGCACAGCAGAACTGTAACCAAGTTGAAGAAGAACAAGAAAAAGCTGTTGTATATAGGTGAGAATGTGGTGTATGGGTGTGTGAACGTGGTGTGTAGGTGTGGGAACGTGGTGCAATTGGCAATGCATTCACTGCTTTCTTATTCTTAACTTTGAATTATTTTATTTGTAGAAATAACCGAAGTAGACAATCCTCTCCCAATGAAGAAAACCTTAAAGTCGATCAAATGAAGGCAACTACTAGCATTGAGGTGGTCCCAAGACCACTCATGAACAAAACCCCGGATAACATTGCAGAGGCGCAAACCCAGAACAGTTTGCATAACATTGAAAACATGGAGCCAGTCTCAGTTGTGGATCCACTGCAGTTTGACTATTCTCCCCACATGGTGCCTAGTATGGACAGTCCTAGTTATATAGATTATAATCAGCAGGTAGGACAAATTCTATTGTGTAATTAACCTTTTAATTAACTCATTACCTGCTGCAAAGCTCCATGGACAGCCAAAATACTGTAAAATGACTAATTTTCACTGGGTTTAAATTTCGCTGATTTACCATTTCAGGCATATTCAGTGGGTTTTAACTCATTTTAATTCACGGTTTTATCATTTAGATAATGTGTTCTATGACAAATTTTACATATTCACTGGATTTTAATTTAGTGCATTTTCCAGTCGGCGAAATAAGCCAAATTAAAACCCAGTGAATAATTAGTATTTTTACAGTAAATAGATATGAAAGCAAAACTAATTTTAAGATTTGTTTCAAAAGTGTTGACGACTGTAAATGTATTAATTATTCGCTGGGTTTTAATCTCGCTATTTTCGATGATTAGTAAAATCCGCTAAATTAAATTTATGTGATTTATTAAAATAACAATAGAACTCATTGTTTTCTTGTCAAGTTTGTGAAATTAAATGTCCGTGAAAATAAGTGCTTTTACAGTAATTGATTTTGAGATTTTTTACCCAGGGCAAAATATTTTGTTGGTAGAATATTCTGAGAACTTGCAAAAATGGGCCTGTCAGTTTTCAAATGTTAATTCAGCCAAATTCAAACTGTTGTTAACAATAACTTATTCTGTACAGCTGTACTCTCTAGTCTTGTCTGACTGGTGCTAATACATTAGCAGCACGCATTGCGGACAGGCTTAATGTTTAAAAGTTAATGTTACGCCCTGTCTTTGATTCATTAATGGGAGAAATGCTCGTAAGGTATTTGCTCAATTATTAACGCATGTGTTTGCATAAATTACACATGTGTTCCTGTCGTCCAAATTAGGAATTTTTTAACGATTCCGTATACAACAAATGTCATTTTTGGTTTTATTGGAGTTTATTCGGAGATGCGCTTCTTATAGAGCAAATATGGTACAAGTTTTGTGAGGTTTCACTTTAAGCATCTCAACATTTATTCAATTTACATTGTAGCTCTTCCAGCAGCAGCAACAGCAGCAACAGCAACAAAGACAACAGACTCCTCAAACCATTATAATGCAGCAGTTGACTCCTCAGCAGCAGCAATATGCCATAGCTGCGGCACAACAACAAATCGGTGAGTAATCAAATCGGCAGTCCGAATCTCAACACTAGTCTTTAATATATACCCACAATGCATTGCACTGATTCAAGTTCTTATTATGAAACTTGCATACAGCAGATGTGAAAAATTTTCTTCAAAAGTAATTTTATTATATTTAATTTTTTGAATGCTCGTCAGCTTTTTATCACCTTTAATAAGCTTTGTGATGATCATTTGTTTAATGTAGTGTCCATATTGAGGCTCTGACCTCTGACCTGAGCAACTGTTTTGTATTCAAAAATGGCTGACAATTATTAGTAAACATGGAGAGTTGACATTTTGTAAAATGTGTTGAAAATTTTGGACCATACATTTTGATATTCCTTTTAGTGTTTGAACAAAATGTTTGTCATTTTAACATTTCTTGTGAGCAGGGGCAGACTATATAAAATCATTTTGTGAAAAAAAAAAAAAAACATGGTCAAAATACTTGTCGAACGCTGCATGTTTTAGCTCTTATTTAGCAGCGGTTTGATAGAATAGATTTTTGTTGTTGAAAACTAATCTGTGACTTGCATTAACTTACCTATTGCTTCTGTTTCCCAAAATAAACATGACTAATACAGATATACTTTATTATTCTATCATATTATGTCTGTGTGCTGGGTTCTAAGTTACAATATAGGAACTGGAGAATACAATACGTAGGAACCGTCTGGTTGTGTGTTTGTTGATCCTCGGGCTTTGGCATATGTTCAAGGAGTGATATCATAATTTCTACCCAATGATTCAGATGCTCGCTGGATATCAGCAATTTGCTCGTTTTTCTTCTTCTCTAAAATTCTTCAAATTTTGTTAAATTTTTTTTTCAGACCAAGCGCCAGACAAAAACATATTGTTTTTTTGTTAAATTTACTTTTTTACAACCGAAATATGACAAATAATTAGAAATGTCTGACGCGAATTGTTCTTGACCAATTTTTGAGACATTGAATCTCTGCTACCATGTTGTGATCTTGTATGGCATTAAAGACAGATGACCCTCCTTCAGATTCACACTATTCTTGCTTGTCAGTGTATATTTTTCCCCAACTACACTGTAATTAGGCTCAAAAATATATTGAGGCCTGTATATATGAACTGGCTGTTTTCGTTGATTACAATTCAGGAGGTCGGGGTTGTACGATGCAATGAACTTGGAGGTTAAATTAACTGTTGCATTGTGGGAATGTACGACTAAGAGCCATTTTGTTTAGTTGAATATATCTAAAGTGGATTTTCTTTATTCACTATTATTGTTAGAAGCTGAATTTATTACAAAGATTAGACTTCTCCATAGGTTGTTAGGTAGTGTTGTATCGACCGTCAGTGGCTTTACCGATTCTATTTCAAATGGTGCGGCCAAGACATTCAGGTCATGTTGTATGACCTGACCTAACCTGACCTGATCTTGAGATTATTAGAAACTACTGCAAACACATTCTTTGTTTGATTAAACAATGAATATATCGTGGTACCTAATTGTAGAATTTGCCCAAAAGATTTAAATCTTTTTAAAAGTTTTGAGCTGATCTATAAATTGCACTATTTGTGAAAATTTTCATCACATTTTTCCCTATTAGATTTAGAATTGCCACAAAATTACGGTGTAGCCGGTCGTGAATAAAATCAGTGCTCACTTTAAAATGTCTCAAACTAAGTAAATAATAATAGTGCTGTCATATCATGGAATTTATATGATACCCTCTTAGCTATATTAATACATTGCTGCACGTTGTCCTCAGCATGGTGCATCTGGTAACCTTAGAAACTACATTTGCATGCTCCCAGTTTCCTTGGTAACACTTATTTTCCTCATTGTTAAACAAACTAAATAACTGTTGATTGGTTACGCTTCCCAAAGTGTGCTTGGAGATCATGGTAAAAGAAGATTAAAATTCATCCTAAGAATAGAAATAATAGTACACTGGGAGGGTTCGAGAAATCATTTTTTAGAATCTGAACAAGAGCACGACTTCCCATGATTTTGTCTGGCCTACTACTGTGGAATACTTTATTTTCGCTGGAATTAATTTTCGCTGAAATTGCTTTTTAGGCGTTCTTTATGGAATTTATTTTCACCGATTTTTTTTGACGAGTTGAATGTAAATATAGGAAAAAAAGTATATTCACTGGATTTTATTTTCACTGAATCATCCCTTCAACGAAAATAAATTCCAAGCGAAAATAAAGTATTCTACAGTATTTTACTTAATTGGCATGTGTTGTATGAAGAGATAAGTTCATTGTGCAT